AAGTGACCAAATTTAGATTTTTTTTTCTCCCATGTGGCACAGATTGGATATAAGCAAAAAATAATTATTTACATGGATTTCGTTTAACTCGGATCAGATTCAAGCCTTGTTCATAAGTAGAATCTGATATGAATCAGATCCGTGCGCTCATGTCTTGCAGTGTAAATGGGTAGATCGGATTTCCACCTGTCAATGCAAGTTGCACATTAATAAAAATGATAATGAATGATGCAATCTCTGACTTATTTCAGCCAATTTCCCACAACTTAAATCTCATATACAAGAAAAAAAAAAAACTTTCATATTTTCATGTAGCACAAGTTAACGCATTTAAGCATGTTAACGAAAGCAAGTGCATTATTTGTGTAAACTATATAAACTAATATAGCTAAAACTGCATAGATTAAGTTCATAAATCATGCCATTGACATGACAATGGTTTAAAAAAATCTAGATTTAAAGAAAATGGCCAAATGAGAACTTTTCTGTCCTAAACTATATAGCTAAACAACTTGTCAAAAATTAAGTAATAACAATTAAAACCTGTAAACAGATGTAAATAAAGGAATTGAGAAAAGAGCACTCATCACAGCTGTCAGTCAGCACCCACTCTTTTTTTTTTTTTTAAGGTCTTTGTGCGTCATTGTAAACACAGACATCAGACAATAGTCACTTTTAAAAGATGATGTAAGGGAGTCATCAAAAAAAAAAAATAATTAAACAGTCATAAAATTGGAATTCATCACCAAGATCTGCGATGCAAATGCAGCCTAAATGCCCCAATATAATATAATTTTATTATTACTTATAGTGGTCAAAGAACAAACTGCAGGTTGGATAGTGTGACCAGTAATTTACCTAACTGGTAATTTTATCATTTTCTTTTGTATGAAATAGTAAACAAAAAAATAAATATATAAATAAAAGTGGGGCAAAATAGTGCTACCTGTTGTTAACTGCCCAAAACAAAAATAAAATTTGTTTTGATTACAAAAAAAAGGCTTACTACAGGAGAAACAATGGGTTAAATTAATCTACTATTGGTTAGTGCCAACTCTGTAATAAGTGGGTGTATGAAAAAATTCACACAGAAGAGCTGCTAGATTTTAGATGTGCAATTCTAATTGAAAGCCACAATAACACCATGTTGACAGTATAAAAAGCATATAGTGGCACATTAATAACAGTCATCGACTGCGTACCTCGAGTACTGAAATTGCAGAATGTTTACAAACATCTACATCTCTATTATCAGATGCTTTTTAATGGCATTTAGCATTTGTTATGTTAACAAGAGTTATTTACACTGCTCAGATATTTGTACATTCTTTATACTCAAACAAAGTACTTCAACATAAAAAAACTCAAAAGTCAAATATATATATATATATATATATATATATATATATATATATATATATATATATAAACAGTTATGGTCCAAATTTTAAGCTGACAGCACAGACCTTTTAAACATAGCAATATTAAAAATAATATTAATTATAATGAAGAATATTGTTGATAATGTTAATTATATTTTAGAATTATTAGTGAATTTGATGATGGTTACTAAAATATAATCAAAAAGAAAAGGGGAATAAAATTACTGTTAGTGTAAGCGGAACAGAGAGTGACAAAAGACAACAATGTTTTTTTTTACCGATTCAGTTTCGCTGACCAAGAACTGGTGGAATTTCTCCAGAAGGGGAGATTTGCGGAGGATCTTTCTGCTCAGATTTGTATGCCATGCCAGTTCATCAGGATACCTACAATGACATGGAAAGGCTAAAGCTCAAGTCTGAAGTACTTTGTAACACAGATTTGCATGGATATTCAAAAATAATAACCACATTTTTTAACTAGTCCTACCAACTTAATGGCTGAGGAGCCTCAATTTTCTGCCCGTCCACCTCAAGATCTTGAACCTCCTTGAAGTATTTCTCTTTAAGGGTATGAAGGATTTCTTTGGCATGACTGATTAGAGGATGAAAGAATAAAAGGTCATAATTATGAAAACTAAATCCCCTGAAAAAGCAATTAAGGTCATCAATATATACAGCCTTGTGCTTTTGCAATGAGCTTGAAATACATTAATTGTATTGATTCCTTGCAACCTTGCCATGAAAATGTTTTTTCACAAAATTACAAAAATTGTTTCTAAGTTTTTTGTGCAAGCAAGTATTTTACAGCACTTTAAAAATGCTCAAAAATGTCTCGGTCAGTGTTTTTAAACTATTAAATTTGATTAACCAAAGTCACACAAGTGACAATTTCACATCCGTCAAATTTATAGCGGAGAGCCATAACCAAGCTTTTTCCTCATAAATGCAATTCTTTTTGTTCTATCGAGAGCCAACTCTCATCCTTGACCTTTTGATTAGCATTGTTTATTTTGGGTTGTGCAGTTTAATTTACAGAATTTATACATAGTATGTTGTATACTGTAAACTCGCAAACTTTTTGGTCACATGTATAAAACACATATGAGCAATTCCAGCGTTATGGATGTGACATTTGCAGTAAAAACTCTAAACATAATTTCACACAGAAAGTATATGTTGACATTATATCGAATATGTAAACATGTTTTATATTTTAAATTAGGAAAATAAACATGCGTTATGGATGTGACAAAAAAAGTTTGCGAATTTACAGTCGACAACAGATTATTTAGAAATTCTGACAGTTAAACTGCACAACCCAAAAGACACAATGCTCATCAAACAGGTATGAGTCGGCTCACTATAGAATTAAAATGATTGATTTTATTTTATTTGACATTTTTGCATTTATGAAGAAAAAGTGTCATTATGGATGTGACACTTCTCCGTTATGGATGTGACAGCTGTGAAATTGCCACTTGTGTGATTTTGGCAAATTAAATATAATAGTTTGAAATACTGACAGATACATTTACAAGTATTTTTAAAGTACTGCAAAAAACTCACTAACACAAAAAATGTAGAAATGGTTTCTCTATTTTGGTGAAAACTGCATTATTTTTTATGACAAGGTTGACATTTGCATGGAATTGCCCATATATTTTCCTTATTTAAGTACAAAACAAGTTTACAAATTAATATTGTTCTGATCCCATAACTCTGTGGTTAGTAGTTTGAGAAAATATGAACAGATGTTTTAATATAATGTTAAACATATACTTTCTCTGGGAATATCTGTGCTGTGTTTTTACTGCAAAATGTGTTACAGATGTGTAACACAGCTATAACGCTGGAAACGCTCATTTATTCACTTTTCGATTTTCCTATAAGAGATTCGCAAATACTTTTCTGAAATTACATTATTAAAAAAAAAAAAAAAAGTCTTAATGTGCAAATACAGAACCAACTTTACCTCAATCTAAAATTGCCTAATATTTCAGAAGTTCAGTGGAAACCCTGAAGCGGCAGGTTATCAAAATACTCTTCAGAAATGTTTTAGGAATTATACGGATGGAAGAAGACAATTTTGAGTGAATAATCCCTTTGGATCTGCAGAAAATATCATGTCACCTCTTGTATCCTGTTATCCGTATTGTAGCTGGCAGTGGCTCCCTCATGGCCTCCATGAACTCCTCAAACTCTCCATCAGGAACAATCTTTAGCTCTTGATAGTAGTGCTCAAAGAGTTTGTTTTCCTTGACAATATCAGCATATCCAGCACCCCAAGCCTACCAAAAGAGCCCATGTGAGCACACTATTTAATACAGGTATTGGATTTAAAATTTATCAAGAGATCCCATTGATTTATTTTTTTCTGACAGTCTTTCTAAAGTGATTATATGCTGTGTGTATTCTTCATACACCATAAACAAATGCTGGGTTCCACACAATTGATTTGTGTTGGGATAACATGAAGGAATTAAGTTAACTTATTAGTTTTCACAAATTTAAGTAAGTAGATTGAACATAAAACAATTAAATTGTCACAAAAAGAATCTCAAAAAATGTGTTGTTTCCACTTATTTTAAATAAGTAGTTAACGAAGAACAAGAACAAACAAAATCATATTTCTGAGTGTAGTTTTCATGTTAGTCTTAGAAATTAAGGTGCAGTGTTGGCAGTGCGTAGAAAAGTAAGCAGCTAGAGCAGCTAGCAAACTCACAGCATCATCTCTGCTCCTTTTCCCTTCTGGTCTTCCATCTCTGTACTGCTGTGGTCTGTTTTTATTTCTCCTGCCCATGTTAGCGACGCATATAACTCTGGATATAAATCTGCGCTGTTTAATCTTGCAATGCCTGGATAGCTGCACTTCTCAGCTCCTGTTGTACTCACGTGTTCGTGACGCGATCTAAACAAGCGCACACTCGACTGAAAGACCCCTTCCATGGTGTCTGCAATATTGCCTGACTTCTATGCACGAGGCGCGCTTTCTCTCTAAATGGTAATATTTTCATTATAAACTATCAGACTATAAAATGTATTTAATCTTCGGGAGTAATAAGTATATTGGCGATTTTAAAAAAATATTTTACAACGTTCATTCAACTTTTTTTCCTAATTATTTTTAAATGAATTGATTTTAAAAACAACAAACATTTAAATGTAACGTTATTAATGCATTTGTAAATGTTCTACTTAAAATATAAACAAATGCGTTTATCTTAAAGTAATCGAGTTAATTAAGGTTTGTATTTAAATGTTGCTATAAATATAATAAATTGCAAATCGAATTTCTGTAAAGTTATAAGATATGATTAACCTGCAAAAACAATAATCATCAAAAGGCGGTTTTTATGCCATCAATGATCGACAGAAACTCCTTTCATTAGCATGTAATCGTTTACCTGCCCGCACGATCTTTATTTATATGTTTATGTATGTATTTTATTTACATTTATTTATTTATTTGCATATTTACCCAAATATTTAGGTTAATTTATTTACTAATTAACTTAAATATTTGGGTAGTTATTTGTTGTTTTTGCAGGTTTCGTCCTCCACACACACACACACACACACACACAAAATTGTCAAATAATTTTTTCGTCCAATATAAAAAAGGGAACGTAAGGGGGAAGAATATTTTCTTGTATATGCCCCGCCCGTTACGTCTCCTGATTGGCGGAAAACATGTGGTGGTACTGATGGGCGGGGTTTCAGATTTCTCCATGGTGTCAGACTGTTTCGTGCATCTACTGTGAACTACGTGTAAGTTGCCGTCTTATTCTTAATCGGTTTTGATTAGCAACTATGGACGCTCTTCTGAATACGTTATTTTCTTCTGAGGAGGAAGAATTGTACGTTTTGGATTGCTTATCGTATCTGATGATGGCCATGGCTCTGATAACTTTTGTTGCTTTACTCTTTGAGCATGTGCCCTATGGCAGGTATGCATCCAGCAGGTTTGGATTCCCTGTAAATGTCAAGTTGGCTTGGTTCGTTCAAGAGCTGCCTTCTTTTTTGTTGCCTTCGAGTTTAGCTTTATGGAGTTCAAGTTCAAAAATAATCCACCTGCCCAACCAACTCCTCCTGCTCATGTTCGTTTGCCATTATATGCAAAGGTAGGTTTTTTATTTGTTCCAACCATTGGTTCCAACATATACACAATTTCAATGTGGTGATTTCATTGGCCAGTGAACATTTCCTGCTTGTTGTCAAACTATTTCATATTTGTAACAAGAGGCATTTCATTCATAACTTGATGTTATAACAGCTACCATAACATAATTTATCAATATGTGAAACCTTTTGGACTCTTAGAAGCTATGGAAATTTTAAATTGTAAAACAGGAATTAAGTCAAGACCATTGCCATTGTTTACCTCGCTCAACATGTTGACAAATGTTTCCTTATTGTCTTGCAAGGGGCAATTTTATGCACTATAATTTGTATATAAAACAACTGAAGCATGTATTTCTGTTTTAGGTCTCTCATCTACCCGTTTTTAATTAGAGGAGGGAAATCAACACCGTTCATCTCCCTAGTACTAGCCTTTGTCTTCTGCATCTATAATGGGTACCTCCAAGGTAGATACCTGAGTCACTATGCTGATTACCCAGCTGATTGGGTTACACACCCCTGCTTCATCATAGGTAAGTGCAAGTATGTATTTATTCACAGTCTAAAGCAGATGTACTCAAAAGACTACACTCATAGAAAAGAAATAGCATTTTAAAGACATGCAGCAATGTGATATCCTGTATGTTCGTTGTACTACATGCTTTACACTTTGCATTGTGTAAATGGCAGATGGTCCTCTTAGCAGCATGAAAAACAAACATTAAAACTGTAAACCAAAAAGCACCCCAATAACAATAAGAGGAGTTGTCATCATGTCAGTGAGTTTATTGAGTTCAAGTTCATTCCTGAGACCTCTAAGTTGAAGGGATTTACACTGGGCTGGGTATAGGGTTGGTGTATATATTAAGTCTATAGGTAAGTCTAAGGTAGTCTATATTAAAAAAAAAAATAATATATATATATATATATATATATATATATATATATATATATATATATTCATTAATGAGTAATACAAAACAATATATTTTTAATGCTGCCTCCACATTCCTTCAATTTTTTACTTTGACTTGAACCACGGGAATCAACCAGGGGTGTGTTTCCCAAAATCATCGTTAGCCAACTAAGGTCGCAAGATCCATCGTTACAAACATAGTTTGTTGAGTTGCCGTTTCCCAAATCCGTCGGTCCAACAACCCTTCGCAAACTGCGTCTCAAACTTGAGCACTCGCAGCTACAGCTCGAGCTGTATTTGGAAACATAGTTTCTGGCTGTGTTCGATTCCCACTTATCCCCCCTATGCCCTATTCATTTAGAACATTCTAACATACAAAGTTGAAATTATTAAAAATAAAAAAGAATTAAGGTCATCTCTCCTAAGTGTAATTTGCTTTTTTAAACTATTCTTACAGTTCAGTTTTAGCGATCTCCATGTTTACAATTGTGCTCCCTTCGCAGTGCACTTTGAAAACCTGTATGTCATTTTGAACACAGCCTCATGGCTAAAGCTATAGGTGACCTATTATTTAAAAGCAGAATTTATTTTACATCTCCAAAGCTTGTGAAAACAAAAAGCATACATTAATTCTTTTCATTTATAGTGGATTATTTATTAGGTATCTGTACTGTATAACATAGGCCTGCTGGTTAGAACTTTCTGCAGTGGTTTACATGTGTCAAATTGTAAAAGTACACTTTTGTAAAAAAACAAAAAACAAAAAAAACAATATTCTACTTAATAATAATCATCATTATCAATATTATGAATATTATTAAATTATTATTTTTTTCATTTCTAATACATAATAAATATTAAATTTAATTTTATAATAAATAGTCTCAATTTAAAATAAAATATAATAATTATTTTAATTATATGAATTATATATGATGTAAGAATTTGTGTTTTGTTTGAATTTGCTTTTGTAAGTGATTTTATGTTTTAGAATCTGATATGTAATATTCTCAATAATATTTGTAAAAGAAACATTGGTCCTATATATGAGCCATGTACATATATTTCAGTTAATATGGAAAACGAGTGCATGTTTTTACCAAAATCTAATATTGACAAAAAATTGACGGAAAGGACAAGATCTCAGATACAAGCGGCCGAAATGAGTTTCCTTCGAAGGGTGGCAGGGCGCACTCTTATGGATAGAGTGAGGAGCTCTGACACCCGGTAGGAGCTCGGAGTAGAGTCGCTGCTCCTCCACATCGAGAGAAGTCAGCTTAGGTGGCTCGGGCATCTGTTTCGGATGTCTCCTGGACACCTACCTAGGGAGGTGTTCCAGGCATGTCCCACCGGGAGGCGGCCTCGGGGAAGACCGAGAGGGAATATGTCTCTCGGCTGGCCTGGGAACGCCTCGGGATCCCCCCGGAGGAGCTGAAGGAAGTGTCTGGGGATAGGGAAGTCTGGGGTTCTCTCCTAAGACTGCTGCCCCCGCGACCCGGCCCTGGAAAAACGGCAGAAGATGAATGAATGAATTAATGAATGAACAAAGAATTGATGGGGTTTTTCTGTAAAGAAGTAGTTTCTCCAACCCATTTAGAGCATCATTATTAGCGTTATATGTTATAACTAACATGGTTCAAGCGATGGATCTGCGACAAAGAAACTATGCGTTCTGAAAAACACTCGTCACTACATCCTTCTTTTTCCAAACGATGCATCGTACTATGATAATTCAGCTTGGAGTTACGTCATTGTTTGAGAAACACACCCCAGATATGCCGTGCACAGTCGGGGGCAGAGTTAAAAACGGTGCTGTTTTTCCACTGCACTCGACGTTCGTACACGACTGTCAGAAAACGCCTGAATGAATACTAGAAACTCATAGACGATTAAATTGTTGGATGCACTGTGACTAGGGGAGAGAAGCTGATTTTTGGCAGTGTCTGAAATACAGAAATGCAGTGTACAAAATAAAATACAAAAGCAATAGCCTTTATTCTCTGTGTGTTCACCATGATTAAATGAATGAATACTAGAAATTCATAGACCATTTGAGGGAATGTGGAGTGAGCATAAAAAATGTATTACTAATAAATTATTAAAAAAAAAAAAATTTAATATAGACTTGTTTTCTATTACCTAATACTTTTCATCTTGCGCACACAGACCTGATTTGACAACACTGGAATAGATCCCATCCAGTCAGCCCCTCGCAAAACATTCTAGTCAAAGTTCCTTCACAACAAAACTGAATATTCTGTGCGACTGCCACAAGGGGGCATACTCCAAATGTCATGTTTTAATGTCGTCTGCAGAGGGGAAAGGTGACTTAATGGTTCCGCAGCCTAAATTAAACCCAAGTTTTTAACATATGGAGATGATCGGAACACATGTTATGTTCAACATAATACTTTTGTTATGTTCATGTTATGTACAACTTGGTCATGTTATTATTAAGTTTTACACCCATATATATAAATATTCTAAATTTAAACCTTTTTAGCATTTTCAAACAAGAAAATTTAAATACTAATAGAAAGAGGGATGGGAAAAATAAGCACATACTATAGGAATAGACTCAAAAACACATGTCAAAGACTTGCATTTCTTGTATACAACTTTATGTTATGGAACTTTTTTGTGTCTCAGTCTGTAAATACCCAGCAGACACAGGACATCAGATTGATGTTCCCCAACATCGTGAGGATGTTGCATTTTGTTTGGGAATTAAAATCTGTTTGACGTCAGAAACCAACGTTAGGCTGACGTCAGAGTCCAACCTAAAATCAACCAAATATTAATGTCTAATGATGCTACAGCTTCACATTGTGTGGACCTTACCAATATGATGTCTATTAGACGGTGGATTTTGGTTGCGGTACCTGACTAATAATTGTCAGTATTTGACGTCAATATGATGTTGGCTTAAGATGTTGGTTCGACATTGGATTTTGGTCACTTTCTAACACAACCTAAAATCAACAAAATTTCAATGTAATTTGACGTTGTTATTGGACTTCAAAATAACGTTGTCCTTAGTCGCTGACTAGACATTGAATTTTTATCACCTGATGTCACAACTTAAATTTAACCTAAAATTAATATCTAATGACGTTGTGTGTCTGCTGGGTAGGCGCTTTATAGGCTGTAGACTTGTCTTGATTGCACATGATACAACAATTATTGACATAAAAGGTCATATTTCATTCATTTGGAAATGGACAGCACAGCTTAGTAGCACGTAGAATGAGTTCTTATACGGATTCTCATACAGCCATGTTTGTTTGCATTTTGAAGAAAATTGAATCGAGCTTTCATTACCTTGCATGTACAGATTGCTCCTAATAGGCAAGGTACATTATTATCTGTAACCAAGCCCTGATTGCTTTATAGATTTGGATATGTTTTCCCACATATATACATTAATCAGTGAACATAACAAAACAATGCTGCAACTATATGCAAAACAATGCTTGTCAGGGTGGTGATTTATAGCTTGAATAAGAGTTATTTAAATGTAATCATATCTCTTTTTTTAGAAGAATTTCTGAAGCCATTTATATGGATTCGTCGTTGGATTTATTGTAGTATCAGGGCTTTGAGTAAATGGATTTTTAATGAGGGGGAAAAATAGTCAAGATTCTTGGTACTCTCAAGATCATTTCCCTAAACCGTACGTCATCTGACTTGGTTACTGTAACATTGACCACTGCAGGGCATAAATGCTGGTTATCTCTGAACCCTAACTGACCTGTCATGGTTGACTGAACATTAGCTGCCATTCATGCTATTCATCAGTGTTCTCCACAGGCCCTTGGAGTAAAGATTTGGTGGACTATAGTTCAATTGTATTAGGACTCAATCATGTAAGCATTGAGATTTATCTAGATTTGCATTTAGATCAGCACTCAAATTAGTATTTCAAAGTGTCTAAGATAGACAGATTCTGACTTTCAGTAGTTGTTACTGTCGTCTTTAATGTGACTTGATACTTCAGAGAACATTTTGAAAAGAGATGCAGTGCTTCTGTATATTTGTGGTATGGAAATTGTTGATCATTTTGAAACATGTTTATCAGTTCACTGCATCTGTGCTAAAATAAATATAACTGTCTTATTTTTTCTTTTAATTATTGTGGTGTGCAGTGTTAATTCAGAATATTTGTACTTTTTTGGGGTCTTTTTTTATGTTTTTTATTATATTTTAGGGTCTTGTATGTGGTTCCTGGGATGGATTATTAATATGCACTCTGACCATATCCTCAGAAACCTCCGTAAACCTGGAGAAACAGGTTATAAAATACCTAGAGGTAAGACAAGAATAATCCAATTTGAATGATGACGAGTGAAAAGTGTAACTTAAAATTATGTAACAATAATACAGTAAAACATTGGTGTTTGTTTTGCATCTTTACAATGTTCGACATAAAACAACTGTAACATTGAGTGAAAGCTTATTAAAAATAAACATAATAAGTGTATTTTTTTTGTTTGTGATTTGCTTTTGTAATCCACCTTTGAAAATTAGTTTAACCATATCAGTTTATCCAATATTTTTTTCGAAATCTGTATAGGAGAGTAATGTTGTATATGGCTCTGTTTCATGACTTATTTGACTTTCTTGCATTTGTGGTTCTTCAGACAAAAAATAAATGACAGTAGGGCTGCACGATATTGGAAAAATCTGATATTGTGATATTTTATTTTTCTGCGATAAATATTATGATATGAATACAAGATGGTTTCACGAGATGGTTTTATTAGCTCTGATGGTTTTCTGAGGAGATGAACAGTATTCAGGTACAGAAATTGAATAATCACAATTCAATAAAAATGCTTTTCTTACATTGCTTTGTCTCATTTCCAGTCGAAATATTTAAAATTCTTCAATCAAGTAAAAATAACGCTTTGGTTTCACCTTAATGCTGCGATCACACCAGATGCGGAACGGACAAATCGCGCTATTCGTGCGTAAATAGCCGCAGGAACATTTGAGTTTACTCGCTTCATTCGCGCGACAAACCCCGCTTCATTCGCGTGTCAAATCCTCTTCATTTGTGCGTCAAATTCACTTCAGAACAGACGCAGACTCGCGTGATGGGCAGGGCTTCTGCCTGCCCTGTGAATCTAGCTTCATAGCTAAATGGCAAACATGGATTTTATTGAGAAAATAACAGTGTTTATATGCTTTACGAAGGCTGAAAAACAGCGTAGATACGTTTAGGGCCATGTCTGAATCCACTACATCCTTTCAAAGGTGCATCCAGCTCTGTGAGCTCATAAACTTTTCCAGAAACTGAACGTGGCTGACGGAGGCTTTCAGCGGTGCTTCGGACTGAGCCCAGCCCAGTTTGATGAACTTCTTGTCGGTGTCGGCTGGAGAATTTCCCCTGGGACACCCACAACAGGCGATACGTCACAATCACGCCCCTACAAGAACAAGCTCCTGATTGGTTAACGCGGCGCGAATGTCCGCTGAAGTTCAGATTTTCGAACTCGAGCGATTCGCTCAATTCGCTCTGCGCCATTCAATCGTACCGCACCGCAAGATGTCTATTTGCGCGTTTGTGTTGACTTAACATGTAAATCACTCGTGCTTGATGCACGTTCCACATCTGGTGTGAATGCAGCATTAGAAAAATGTCAAAATTAGGATTTTTACCCTTAAAACAAGCTAACTTATCTGCCAATGGAGTAATTAAATTAATCTTATTTTCAATTTGAAAAGTAGATATTTGGACTAGAAACAAGACAAAAATTCTAAGAAAATTTTTTTTTGCATTAAACATATGTTACCCATCGGTCCTACTGCACCCAACCCGGTCTTAGCTGGGATCGAACCGGCAATTCTTTGTATGGGGGTCGGTTGCTCTAACAAGGAGGCAGATTTCCTCATTTTTTTTAGACCATCATTGAGTTCATTTATTTATGTAAATGTGTGTAAATATATATATATATATATATATATATATATATATATATATATATATATATATATATATATATATATATATAATCATTTTGTCATTTTGGTTAGTGATTTCCATACAGTTATCACAGAATTTCAGAATGGTTATTATTTATTTCTCTATGGGTTAACTCTATGATTAGAATCGCCTAATTGTAGGATATTACTAATAGTTGTGTTTAATAATAGTCAAATTAAAATCATATTCAAATCTATATTTAATATATAATTAATATTGAAATAAATTCAAGTTTAGCATTTGTTATCACTTGTTAGAACTTAAAAAATGGTGTAAGGTAGGACAATTCCAAGGGCCCACACACTTTTTGGATCCCCCAGAAAAACCATCAGGGGCCCCAACCAACCATAGCCCCCTTTTCACCTTCATCAAAACAAAAATGTGCTTTTAAACTTGAAATGAATATAGTTTTGACATTTAATGTGATAAAAATAGATGGTTATTTAAAATTCATCACTATAATATTTGTCCATATCACTCAGCTCTAATTCAATGGCCAAACAAAGCATGTGTTCTCTACACTTTTCTTGAAAATAGGATAATTTTACGACTCCCCTAGAGATAAACGATTTTGCTGCCATACCATGCACAATATTATTGTGTGGCACTTAAAAATTGGCTAGATTCCATTTAAATTACCAACATGACCAAACTTTTTGCACAGGAAAAGTGCCACAGGAAGTGAGACATTTGTGAGTAATGATTCATAATATATTTGCTTTGGCGCAGATAATGAACTGAATTTTTTTGCCAGTTTTATACAGAGGTTGGCCGAATTAATATTAATCCCTCCATAATGACTTTGTGCCTGCTGCAGCCATGCTAAGGCAGCAAAGTTCCTTGATTATTAAACCAGAATGAAAGTATAGTTCTTAGCTTTATTGCAACGTTTAATTTTTCGTTGGTCTTACAATAATGTGATTACACAGAAATCAAGCTTTAAAAAGGAAAATTTGTGAAACCTTTGGCCATTTTTAAGCGAGATGCTAATGCTGTAATCCGTTTAAAATATGCTAAGCCAGTGGTTCTCAAACTTTTTTCATCAAGTACCACCTCAAAAAAAATAGTCTCTCCAAGTACCACCATAATGAGCAGTATTGAAATACAGAAGCGTAGTAGGCCTAGTACAGCAGCTACAACTCTGCACAGTTAAAAAAAAACGTGGCAGATCAACTCAGAAATATAGGCTATATGTCATATATGGCATATTATATATATACATTTTTTATAAATTTTGAAATATATGTAGCTTGTACATGACATATTTCATTCTTCCGTGTACCACTAGAAGGAAGTCCGCGTACCACTAGTTTGAGAACCACTGTGCTAAGCTAAGATAAAAGTGCTCCTGAGAGACCCATATATAGATTGAGTAGATTAAAAATGGTAAAATTAACTGTTTTCTCTTTAAGAGTTGCAAGAGTTGCAAGAGTTGCACTTGCAACTCTCAAGAGTTGCATGGTCGCCCACTGAAGCTAAGCAGGGCTGCGCCCGGTCAGTACCTGGATGGGAGACCACATGGGAAAGCTAGGTTGCTGCCGGAAGTGGTGTTAGTGAAGCCAGCAGGGGGCGCCCAACCTGCGGTCTGTGTGGGTCCTAATGCCCCAGTATAGTGACGGGGACGCTATACTGCTAAGTGAGCGCCGTCTTTCGGATGAGACGTTAAACCGAGGTCCCGACTCTCTGTGGTCGTTAAAAATCCCAGGATGTCCTTCGAAAAGAGTAGGGGTTTAACCCCGGCATCCTGGCCAAATCTGCCCACTGGCCTTTGTCCATCATGGCCTCCTAACCATCCCCATATTCAATTGGCTGCATCACTGTCTCCTCTCCACCAATCAGCTGGTGTGTGGTGTGCGGTCTGGCGCAAAATGGCTGCCGTCGCATCATCCAGGTGGATGCTGCACACTGGTGGTAGATGAGGAGATTCCCCCCACTGTGTAAAGTGCTTTGAGTGCCCAGAAAAGCGCTATATAAATGTAAGGAATTATTATTATTATTATTAAAATGAGACTATTCTCAAAAATTTATCTTGCTCTTCCTAAATCTTGCTAGTTAGTCACATCTTTGAGTGAGATGCTAATGGTCTAATCTGATTGATCTCTGGTAAGCTAATCTAAGCTAAGCTAAGCTAAAAGTGCCCCTGACAGACCCATATCAACTGATAAAAAATTGGTAAAACTTAACTGTTTAGCTCTTTAGAAGTTGCAAAATAAGACTATTCTCAAAGATTTACTCTGATCTTCCAAAAATCTTGCTTGTTAGTAACAATGAAAATGTGCTACGGCATTTGTGTTCTTTATTTTGCTCTCTGTCGTAAGATTGCCTGCAGAAATTTTCACTTTCAACATGCTAATTAGTCATGGTTAGTTTACCTCTAAATATGCAACGAGTATAAACGTGCATTTTTTTTAGAGCATTTTTAATATTCCACATGCAGCTCGGTGGTGTCATTTCATCTTCATCGCTGGTGTGAGTGTTAATGTAACCCCAAAATCGGTTTTACTTAACATGACTCTGAAAGAAAATAAAAATAGATGCCCTTTCAGTCCATGACTCATTGCCTGAGCAACTTGTCGCAAACACCCTCATCCAGAGATCCTAATAGTGTGTGACATCCGCTACTGTCTCTTTTTCTAAACAGCCAGTGTCCATGCAAGATGCTAATGCTTTCAAAGCTGTCCTCACAGGGTTTAATAAAAAAATATCAAACAAGCAATGTTTGTGACATTTAAGTTTAAATTCAGCGATTGTTTATTCACTCTTAACTTGTTACTGTACATGCACTTAAAAATGATGAATGCTATTTATTCAAACTACTTTAAGTAAAATGAGCTGAAATTACACAATTCTTAAGGTTTTTGGGGGACAACTTAATTGTTTTATGTTCAATCCACTTAAATGAGTAAAAACTAATAAGTTAACTTAATTCTTCATCTTGTCCCAACACAAATTGATTGAGTGAAATCCAACAATTTTAACGGTGTGTTCATGTATGTTTGTTTTAGGCTAGTGTTCTTTTATACAGTTATCATTAAAACATATTAACATGTTAATGGGATTTTACCTATGATTATGATGGTTAAATGTTTGATACGGTGGATGACTGTGATATAAGTTTAATCAAATGAATATCTAATTTTCAAACACATTTTTACAGATGTTATTTATGTAACCCACCGGTCCTACTGCACTCAACCTTGTCTGAGCTGGGATTGAACCAGCAATTCTTTGTATGGGAGTCGGTTGCTCTAACAAGAAGGCTAAAGACCATGGCCTCTAGCGTCTGTTGCTAGTGCACCTTTAGAGGTCAGAAGAGTGAGGTTTACCTGAAAAGCATTCTGCTAGCTGGTCTCTGTTACACTTACCCCCTCTAAACCTCACTCCCATCCCAGACGAGCCCCTACATGTACCCCTTCGGTCCTGCTGCACCCAATCCAGTCTGAGCTAGGATCGAACTGGCAATTCTTTATATGGGAGTTGGCTGCTCTAACAAGGAGGCTAAAGACCATGGCCTCTAGCGTCTGTCGCTAGAGCACCTTTTCGTCTAATTCACACAGGGGTTCAGCTTCAATATTTGCTATTCACTTTGAATGGGTGACGTCAGGCATTGCCGAACTGCATTGTGTATCTGTTGGCGCCGCTTCAGTGGCATTGCTCACTGCAGAAGTTGGGAAATTCTCAACTTTTCAAACTCCAACAGAAGTGTCAGCCAATCAGATCGCTTCATGCAAATACCCCAGCTCAGACATTATCCGATTGCAGACTTACTTAGTTGGTTGACGCTGCTATGACGATCACGTCAGCCCCAACTTAAGACTTGCCCTCGGTCAAGAGTTGACGTTGAAGCCCCATGTGAATGCATGGTTGGAGGTCACAGGAGTGAGATTTACCTGCATAGCACTTCGCTAGCTGGCTTTCATTACACTTACCCCCCTAAACCTAAACCTGGACGAGCACCCACAACTAACCTATCGATCCTACTGCACCCAACCCAGTCTGAGCTGGGATCGAACTGGAGATTCTTTGTATAGGAATTGGTTGCTCTAACAGGGAGGCTAAAGACCATGGCCCTATCGTGTCTGTCGCTAGAGCACCTTTAGAAGTCAGATGAGTGAGGCTTTACCTGCATAGCACTTCGCTAGCTGGCCTCCGTTACACTCACCCCCTAAACCTCACTCCCATCCAGGACGAGCCCCTACGTTTAACTTACCGGTCTTACTGCGCGCAACCCGGTCTAAGCTAGGATCGAACCGGCAATTCTTTGTATGGGAATCAGTTGCTCTATCTAGGGGGCTAAAGACCATGGCCCTATCGTGTCTGTCGCTAGAGCACCTTTCGAGGTCAGAGGAGTGGGGTTTACCTGCACAGCACTTCACTAGCTAGCCTCTGTTACATTTATTTACTGAACAAATGTACTGTACATCTGCGAATGACACTTGGAAACATGTTGTTCTCAAACATTGATACTAATCCATAGAAATACAAATTTAAAAAAATACCAATTTAATCTCAAAACATCCTGAGACAAAGTAATGAGAGGTTTGAGTTGCACATCAGTTAATTTATTCAATAAATGTGCGTTGTTTACATTATTGTGTATAAAAATGACCTACGTGTACCTCAGTTATGCGCAAATGTTTTGATGAACATCTTGGCATATCTGTTCAGCAATATCCCAAAATGTGCAGGAAAGGATGTGGTTGGAACCATGTCAATAGATTAGCCAAATCAAAAGGATTTAATATTATTCTAGTATGATTAGTTGGTGGTTTATTCCATTGTGGTAACCCCTGATTAATAAAGGGACGAAGCCAAAAAGAAAAGAAATGAATGATTGAATTATTCTAGTATGTATAATTTGAAAGCTTGTTCTTGTTTTATTTGATGCATGAGTGATGACTGGCATGATGAATCAGACATGCTTTATTTCTGATGCATTGAACCAGACAGCATGAGCATGTTAGTCAGATGGTTTTACATTTAGTAAGTGACATGTGATAGATTTGTTTGTTTTTGCAGATATTTTTGTTTAATGTTTTAGATTAAGGTGTCTCCTTTTTTGCTTGTAGGAGGCATGTTTGAGTATGTGTCTGGAGCAAACTTCTTTGGAGAGATTGTGGAATGGGCTGGATTTGCTTTAGCTGGTCAATCCATCCATAGTGCAGCTTTTGCTCTCTTCACTCTTATCGTGCTGTCCTGCAGAGGAATGGACCATCACAAGTAAGTCATTAGAGTATATGGTGTAAAATATTTTTTTCTCAGTTTTACAGTTATCTGTAGAATGAAATGTCAAAATATAGATTTAAATTCATAAGTTAATCATTTAATCTTTTAATTCTTTCCCGTCTAAGACATATTTTAATCCAAAATCATACAAAATATTAATTATAATATAATATCCATAACAAATGGAATCAGTTTACTTTATTTTAGTATGAACTTACAATTTTTCTATGTTCAGTTTAATTTTATCTGAAGTTCAAATATTTATTTTAACAAAATTCTTTTAAAATTTTGTTGACTATACTGTGACACAAATAGTTCTAGGAAGTCTACTTTTTTGCATTTCCATTAAAATAATTCCTACTTTAAATTTAAGCCTATTTTCACTATGAATCTCATTTGAATAATGATTTTGGATTTTTGCCACTTGTTTTACTCACCATAATATTCTTTAGAAATATAATGAAAATGATATGTTAGAATATCTTCTTTACAGTATATAATACACTAAGTGTTAACTTTAACATCTACCATCATGACATTATCAACTTTTATTCATTCGTTCGTTTTCCTTCAGCTTAGTCCCCTATTTAAAAGGGGTTGTCACAGCTAAATTAACCACCAACTGTTCCGGCATATGCAGCGGATACCCTTCCAGCCGCAACCCAGCACTGGGAAACACATTTACACTCTCACATTTACTCTAGCACTCATACACTACGGCATGTCTTTGGACTGGGGACCAGAGCACCTGGAGGAAACCCATGCGAGCGCAGGGAAAACATGCAAACTCCACAGAAATTTCAACTGACCAAGTCGGAACTCGAACCAGCGACCTTCTTGCTGTGATGCGACAGTGCTAACCACTGAGCCACCATGTTGCCCTGGATGACTATTCGAATACAAATAATTCTATGAAGCCTACTTTCACTATAAGCTTGCTATTTTCATGAAAATTAAGCACATTTTCTCCATATATGACTTTTTATATATAGTGCATACGGGCTAAAATGACTGCTTTTCTCGAGACTAGGAACTGTATAATGTTTTTTTTTTTCATCTTTTCCTGATCTGGAGTGAAATATGCTCTGGCCAGATAAATATATTTGTTGTATAACAACATCACATTTAGAGATTGCTGTTTAATGTGCCTTCTTATTTTACAGGTGGTATCTGGCAAAATTTGAGGACTATCCAAAATCAAGGAAAGCTTTAATACCGTTTCTGCTCTGATCTTCTGGTAAGCCCAGTGTGTGTGTGTG